TACTAAACAAAATACAACAATATTACTCATTCATTCAAAGAGAGAAAAATTTCAAGCTTCAAGAACAGCAAGGGACTTGATTGAAGTGCTGCGATTTGCTTTCTGTACCAGCTACTTTTGTTTGCTTGTAATAGTTCTGATATTGTAAGATCCGTTTCACTTGTGAAAGAAACGTTTCAAACTTGTTTGAATCATTGTAAGAACTAGGTTAAGGGTAACTTAGGTTCTTACTCTAAAAGTCTATATTAATCTAGGAAAAAGCCATCTTCAAGGTAGAACAATACTCACACTCAACAAAAGGATCTTATAAAGTGCTGAAGCATCTTTGTTGAGTTTGAGTTTTGTGTCTATCATTTTATAGGTTTTTGCATCTTGAAACTTCTCAAGTATACAAGCAAAGACTATTTTGGTGAAGTATTCTCCAGCAAGCACAACAAGGACTTGATCGAGCTGCAAGTGTCAGAGTGTGTCTTAGGAGTTTTACTTTCGTGCTTATATTGTAAATTTGTTCCTAATCTATAAAGGATTCAGATTCTTGTGTTCGTTGTAAAAGTCTAAATCAGTTGAAGCTAACTGATTTAGTGGGCAGCATTGGTTGCTGCTTAGTCAAATTCTAAGTCATCTAAGAGCTAGTTGATTTAGTGGGCGGTGTGGTATCCGCTTAGCAAAGTCTAAGTTATCTAGGGGTGATAGCTTAGTGGGCAGTGTTGTATCTGCTCTGGCTCATCTAAGTAATAGGAAGTATTGCTTAGAGTTGGGATTAGTAGGCTAATCTCAGTTTGTAAACTTGCTTTTACTTTTGCTTTGAGAAGATTAGTGAAAACAGTTTTTTTTAAAGTCCTGGCAGGCCAGGTCGTGGTTTTACTCCCTTGAGCAAGGAGGTTTCCACGTAAAGTTGTTGTGCAATCTTTACTTTCAGCACGTTGTTTATTTTCTGTTATTTTAACTGTGCTGAGGACTTGGTCCCATCTAGACCAGTGGACGCATACATTCCAACAGAGGAAAAGAGAGAGAGAGGGAGGGAGTCGGTGGCACTAGAGAGAAGAGAGAAAGAGAAGGTTTTGGTCTTAGGTAGATTAAAAAGGAAAGAGTAAGTAGACTCAATCTGGACCATCAATTTATTTTGAATGGACGCACACGATTGATTCTTGGATTGATCTGATTTAAATGGACGGTTGAGATTTAAGGAAATTGGATCACCCAAAACAAAATGTCAAAAAACATAAGCTATCAACTCATATCTATCTCTGCCCCTCGATCGAACAAAAGTCGTTTGATCCTATATAAAAACACGTACTCATCGTGGTCGTCCCTCAGTCCTGATTCTCAGGATAATATTGAAATGTGGATCCTCAGTCCTTGCCATTGTGCAACTTCTGTATAGAACCCTGGGAGTCCTTCTCTTCCTGAAGAGCTGGTGATTGTGGGATATAGAACTTAAAGATATGTACTGAGTTCCATTTGATGAGTAACTGAGAACAAATTAGAGGGATATGGAAAGAATGAAGTAATAGATACATTTAGGTATAGGGGCTGAATCCGTAAATCATATAGATAGAATATAATGATAGTACGCTTGGGAGATCTCAGTAAGCTGCTTATACCATATTTCCCTCTCTTTTTTTGTCAATGTGTATTCTTTAGGGCAGGGTATATTATCAAGGCGGCTGTGCAACTCATCTACAGCGAAACACCCATCTAGATCTATCTGACGCAGCCCGCCGGGGGTACGGGCTTCATCAAAGAGATTTATCGCAAGGAATGAGTTAATATATTCCATTGGGTGGGGGCTATTTAATAAGATTTCGATGTAACTCTCACCCATTGTATGTAAGAAATCCTATATTATTCTTCTTGAATTGTCTCGAATTACCTACGAAGTTTGAGGGGTTCACTAGATTTTTTATTCCTTCTCCATTTCTGAGAGCTGGGAAAGGTAAATATTACTACACTATTTCTTCCCTCTCTTCCGCACTCCGATACCATTGATGTCCAATAGCTTTTATAGTAATGGATGGATCTACTACTACCTCGACCATTGAGTATAACAGAGCAAATGATGGTATAGCAATGAACATAGAGATGATACTAGGAAATATGGTCCGAAGAATCTCGATAGTAGTTCCATGAACAATCCTTTGAGGGATTGGATTTTTTTATAGTAGAAATGCCATAAAGCGCGAAATTCACTCGCTTATCCGGAATGAGCTACTGAGTTGGAGTACAAGAAAGAAGCACCACTTCTTTATTATATTGAAACTCCGCTCTGAACCCGAATCATAGAACTTGGACTTAGATCGTTCGTTTCCCAATTCAAACTCGGATCAGTTGGCAAATGGATTCCGTGCCTGGGTACGAAACTCTAAATGAAAAATTGGCTAGAGGCCAGATCGCTCACTCAACAATTTTTGCTTCTCCCAATGGGAGCCTTTACTAGTAAGGGCGCGTGGAATCGGGGAGGCGGATGAGACTTTATTTAAAGGCTTCAGGTTGAGCCCCCTCCCTTCAATAATGTCGAAGGATCACGAACGATATATAGCACAAGAAATTGACCTAAGTAATTTCTTATCTTTTGAGATCAATGTTGTTATGCTAGATTATATTAAGGTTAATTATCTATCCCTAGTTAGGGAGGGGCTTCTTAAGCCTCGTATTCTAGCATCGATTAATATACATGTTGCAATCAAGAGTTTAAGGGATACCTTCCTTAAATATGAAAATAAGGGGTCTATCACATATTAGAGTCTGCTAGATGTGTTGTTGGCTGATGTGCAACGAGCCCGTTATGAAGATTTTATACTAGATATTGCTTCAGCTTAGGGCCTATTCCCTATTTGATTCTCTAGGCTAGTGGTCCCTTTTGTCTGGCCATGAATAGTGAGTGGGACCTCATGTTCGCCCTACGTCCCGTTGGGAACCATGAAACAACTAACACCGTATCTTCTACTCCGTACTATGAGATAGAGGCAATGAAATGGGAATTGCAACGCACTATTCGGTCTATCCCTGAAGAAAACAAAAAGGCAGGTTTATGGTGAGCACATGTACGACAGAAGAGGAAGCCGGAGGAGAAGCGCTACGAAGAACAAGAAGTTCTGAAGTTTAAGGATTAATTTCTACCAGGTGATGTCGAAGCAGAATTCATAAATAAGTTTAAGAATCGAAAACAGGGTTTTTCCAAAATTTCTATGAGAAAGTACATGAAGGAGGTTAACCTATTGTCTCTACGATGTAGAGTGAAGGAGGAGGACAAAAGGCAATATTTGAGCTTGCAATGCCTGTAAAAGAAAAAAGTATAGGCTTGATTGCCAGTCCACTCATTGTTATCTGATAGCCATTGGATATTAATATATATAAAAAAATGCTATTCAGGGAATCTTTCCAGCGGACTCTCGATGGTGCACACTCTGGACTTGTCGATCGTTATTCTATATGATGAGTGATTTATTGAATTGCTAGTCTGTCAGTGAGAGAAGTGATAACTTCGAGAAAGTCCCGCCCAAAGAGCTTAGCCAAGAGTGGACCAGGCCATATGGCGGTCCCCCAAAGCCGGTCATCGGGAGCAAAGATCCTTCTCTTGAAAATTGAGATAAGAATAGGCTAGATTTGAAACCAATAAGTGGCTATAATTGAAATAAGAATTTGAATTGAAGTGGCTAGAATTGAAAGGAATTAGAACAGAATAGGCTGGATTTTAAATGATTTGGAAGAAAATTAAGGAAGTGATATCCAATTAATAAAGTACTACACTTATTAAAATATTTTCACATAATTAAACACACCTAAATTCTAAAATAATTTAATACAACAATTTTTATAAAATATGCACACTAAAATATATAATTTTTAGACAAAATCGAATAACATTTTAAACTCAAAATAGGTTTTAAAATACGCATTTAATCGAATAGCACTATCAAAAAAGGGTTATAGGTCGGTCAAAATTGGGTGTCAACAATGGACACTTTCTATTTCATATGGTAATTAAGAAATTATTACTAGATTGATCAACTTGCTATTTTGCCCTTTGTTTATGTTAGTTAGCCTCTTGAAAGAGAAATTCTTTTGTTTAAACTTTCAAAGGTCATATTTATTATAGAGGTAAAATGTAAAAAATTTAATCAATTATATCCTAATTTAGTAAGTAATCAAACAATATGAGATAAATATTTTTAATAAAATGTCGATCTAGATATAATATGGGACATTGGGAATAATTAATAACCTTTCTCTTCCCATCAGAGCTCTAATTAATGTTTCCATCTACTTATGGGCGCATCTTGAACTTTATTGAATTTATTGTAATGTGGACTTGTGTATTCCTACTTGCTTGGTACTATAATTACAGAAAATTTAACTTATTCCTATTTTGTTTTTATTCTTGTTGCTTGCTACTTCCTCCATTTAATAATACTTGTTCACTATGCTATTTTGAAATGTTCAACAATATTTATTTATTTTATGACATCAATGGATAATTGTACACTTACTTCCTATTTTATCTTTATCATTAATTGTAGTCATTTCTCTGTTACATTTTCAAGACATGTATTTATTATATTCAAAATGTGATATAGTAAAATAATCCTTTTATTGATAGTTGTTTAAAATGTGTGCAAAGTCAATAGTAGACAACTATTGTTGAACAGAGAGAGTATTACATATGATATAAAAGAGAAGTATTGAAAACACTCCTAAACTCAACGTGAATTATTAATTTCATCTCTAAACTATTGATAGCTTTAAAAATTTCTTTTACTTGATTAGTTGAACTTAATACTTCATCGATCTTGCAACATGAGTGAATTACACCCGTAAATTTTCGCTAAGTTTAGAGGTGTTTTCAGCACTTTTCCCGACTTTTAGACATATCTTAAGATAAATATCCAACATACTACAATAGGTCATTCTAGAAGCTTTTCTAAAAATCTAGGATATTTTGTAGTTCCAAAATATCAACTTTTTATTTCACACTCCCCCTTAAAATGATTTTTTGAAAATTACCCCGAGCTTGTTGTGGAAGAAATCAATCGAAGTTTTTGAGCATTCCTTGGTGAAGATCTCAACAGTTTTGTCGGACTTCTTAGTTCTTCCAATGATGAAGGTTTTCTGTAAAACCTGCAAGGAAATAAGAATACGTATTGATAAAATCTCTATCTACATAGCGGGCTAGCTTAATAATATTTTTGTATGGTCTTTTCAAACCATGTGAATGATCTCCTCCTTGTTGAGTTTCATATTGTTGAGTTATTAAGCTCTCCTTTTTCTTAACTTCTCGACAGTTGTACTATATGGAGAAACATCTGTGATGAGAAAGTTTTAAACTTCATTTCTCAAGATTTTAAAACATGCTTCTTCCAATGCAACTACACGATACTGAGAGATTTTATTAATATTAGCCTCAACATTCAAGTCGGTGATGATATCAATTTTTGGTGAATCCCCGACACTGTAATATGATTCATCATCATGTTCCCTTTTTAGCTCATCAATAACATGTTTATCAGCTTTAGAACTTCCAAAAATCATACCTTTTTCAGTCTTAATTAGATTATCTATCAGATTCCAATATTTGCTCTGAGCCAGTGATTGACCCCGATATGTCAGATGATAGACAAGAGATTTCAAATTTCACTATATCTCCCTTAATGCATTCTTAAAAATAAATCGTTATTGTTAAATATAGTTTTAGACATTACATGGTCAAGATCAACTTATTTGATTTCTTTGATAACAACTATCATATCATCAGTATAAACATCTTCAAAAGTTTCTTGCTTCATACAGATGAAATTAATGTCTTGCTTCTCCACGTGATCGACTGTATTATCTTCTGAATTCTCGATTCAGTCTCTTTCAATGGAAATCATGACATCTATTGTTCGAGCCTCACCTACTAAACACTTACCCAGCCTTCTTTTTCTTCAACAACCTTTTGAGTCATATTACTCTCCGTGCCTCGACAATATCTTTTTATATGTCCTATTTTACCATACCGATTACATATGAGAGTCTTATAATTATTAGTAGACTTTCCCTCCTTTCTAGGTGATCTTGAATCACCTGAGGATCGAGTGTGTCATATATCTCTTGTTTTTCTTTTGGAGTTTCTCTTGCCAGCTACAAAAACATTTTCTTGTCCATCTTTGACGAATACACCAACCAACTATTTGCTAAAACTCCTATGACGAAAACAAATGATATATATTCATATTTCAAATCACGAATGACAATTCTTCTCATTTGTGCTTCAGAGATAGCTTCGTCTGGATTCAATAAAGATATCTCAGAACAAAAGTTCTTAATCTTTTAAAAATACTTGGCGAAAGAAAGATTACCCTGAGTGGTGTAAGCCAATTCATTCTCCAATATCTACAGTCGAGCTTTATTCTTCTTGTTGAACAAACGATTGAGGGTCCTCCATAATTCATGAGCTGAATTACACCTTATAATATGATAAAATAAACTGGAGGATATTGACCTCTTCAAGACGAACTTCACCTTAGCATTAACTTGCTTCCACTTCTTATATATGATATTATTCTTTGATTCGTCTGCAAGAGGACTTGCGTTAATCCCATTAACAGCATCCCACAAGGTACAATTACATACATGTCTTTCATACCTTGTAATTGGACTGATTCAACAATTTCATCCTCAGTCAATTAATACGATTGCTCAAATCCATCTACACAAACTAGTTGAATGTATCACCAACCCGATCTTGAAAAATAAAACTCAGAAGCCAACGTATGGCTATGATTCTGATACCATGTAGAGAATAGCAAAGAAACGTAGAATCGAAAAATCATCTGCTAGCCCAAGATCGTTAGCTAAGATAGAAAGATTCAACTAAAAAAGAGGAAGTTAGAAGGAGAATGTGTATTTTGGATAAGAGAAATTTGTTATGAAAGAAACACTTTTATTTGGGTTGTTCTTGGGTTCCGTACAAATGTATAAGACCATCCCATATTTATACTTATCTATGGATGGTTCTAGATACTACACAATCTAGACTATTCTATGATTTACAACAAATATCTAATTCTCTAAAATCTACAAAAACAATCTAGATACTTTTATCTCTTAACTATCAAATAAAAATCTAGAACTTCTAGGCATATCTTAAGATAAATATCCAAGATACTGCAATAGGTCATTCTAGAAGCTTTTCTAAAAATTTAGAATTTTTGTAATTCCAAAAAATCAACTTTATTATTTCATAGTCATTAATTAAAAAGTTTGTCTAAGAAAATTATTCTTTCAATAAGTTAATATATTTTACTATTAATTTTCTTATAGGTAGATCGATTGATCAAATTACATTACAATATTTTTTTTGATTCTTTTAATTTCTGTTTTACATTCTTTATGTTATGACCCAGACCGTCGTGATTCGCATCTACACTAACTCTCCAGTGGGAGAATCATTACTAGTACCCAACTAAGCAACTTAATGAAAAACTAAGCATTTAAAGATACGAATGCAGGTTTAAATGACTAAATAACATGGAGTTCCCATAAACTCTGAAAGCTTAAATAAGCAACTAAACATAACTATTGCGGAAATTCAACCCCTAGAACCTGAAAGTCAATGTACCAAAACTCTACTAAACGACAAGTCTAAGAAAAGGGGTGCAACCCCGAATCTAACATAAGTAAAAGTCTAACTAAGCAGTCTGAGTCTGAAGAGAATGGACTAAACAATTCAAGGATCAATGGCAGCCTGGAAGAATTGGCTCACCCTTAACTCTTGTCTTCGATCAATGATCCCCTAGCTGAGGTCAATATGTAGCTACCTGAAGATGCCCGGTACTCAACGAAGAACGAGCAATTGCAGTATCAGTACACAACCACAGTGCACTAGTAGGATCACGTGGCTATTTCAGTAAGCAAAATGCAGACAGGTAATTACAACACAATAAACACACATATACAGAATACATAGTTCAATTAACATTTCAGGAGCAACATACAATTCCCCAATATCAATGACAGGTAGATATGAACATAATAATCACAAGTGGTTCTCTCATGGAATCCACACACAAACTGTTAGTGTGTTGGAACGTGACATACGATCTAATGTATGTGTCAGAACGTGACATCCGATCCAATATGTGTATAGAAACGTGACACCCGATCCAATGTATGTGTCGGAACATGACACCTGATCCAATCAGCACAATCACATCACAACCACGCCATATTGAATAGTACATATAGTCACATGATCAAATAATAGTTCATAACATGTAGTTGTTCGCACATAATCATTTCATTGGATTCGATTCACATTTCACTATTCATATACATGCATGCATAAAATGGAGTAATTAACCAGCATATATCACATAAACAGAAAATCAAACCATCACCTATCTCTAAACCAAGCTTGAATCCTCCTAAGACACTTGAGCCTTCCCTTTCCGGATTCTTTCAGCTCGTTCTTGGTCTAAAATAGTTAAATAATGCAAGGATCAATAAACAGGGACTAATTTACCTGGATAATAATCAAACTATCAATCCTAGGCCAAACCCAAGATCCCAATACTCAATTAGGGCTTTTACTCCCATCAACTTCATGCCAAAACCCTCATCCAATGATAATTACTCAAGATTCTAAATTCTAATAGAGGAGTAATTATCTTACCTTTAGTGCTAGAAATCATTGGAATGAAATTTTCTGGCTCTAATTCTTTCCCCATTGGCTTTTCCAATACGACGAAAACAGGTCGTTACAATAGATACCAATTTATCCATCACTCGTCCCCGAGTGATAAACTAGGAAAAAACTGGCTAAGGTTAGAGTAGAGTAGTACCTGAATCGCTGAACAACTGGGGATACTTGTCTCGCATGTCCTTTTCGATTTCTCAAGTAGCTTCTTCAACTGGACGATGCTTCCAATGAACTTTCACAGACTTAATCTCCTTGGTCCTTAGCTTCCGGACATCACGATCAAGAATTGCAATCGGTTCCTCCTCATATTGAAGGTCCTTGTTTAACAAAACTGAGTTCCACTTTCTGATGTAATCTCCGTCACCATGATACTTCTTTAACATGGACGCATGAAACACTGGATGGACCCCAGATAGGATAGGCGGTAAAGTCAACCTATAAGCCACTGGCCCTACACAGTCAAGAATCTCCAATGGCCCGATGTAGCGAGGACTAAACTTGCCCTTCTTGTCGAACCTCATCACCCCTTTCATGGATGACACTTTTAGAAGAACTTGCTCACCAGCCTGAAATGTCATGTCCCTTACCTTATGGTCTGCATACTTTTTCTGTCGACTCTGGGCTGCTAGAAACTTAGCTTGGATGCTCCTCACCTTATTCTAAGCATCTTTCACCAAATCAACCCCCAAGGTTTCACATCTTCAGCCTCAAACCACTGTATGAGTGATCTACATCCCCTCCCATAAAGGGCCTCAAACGGTGCTATGTCTATGCTGGAGTGGTAACTGTTATTATAGGAGAACTCACACAAAGGTAGGAACTTATCCCAATGCCCTCTAAAGTCAATCATGCATGCCCTCAACATGTCTTCTAACACTTGGATAGTCCTCTCTGACTGTTTGTTCGTCTGTGTATGGAACGTTGTGCTAAAAATGAGTTGAGTTCCCAACTTCTCATGCAATTTTCCCTAAAATTTTAATGTGAATTGCGGACCACGATCCGAGATGATAGATAGGGGCACCCCATGCAATCTCATTATCTCCTTCACATACACCTTAGCCAACTATTGCGCGTTATAGTCTACTCTGACTGGAATGAAGTGGGCTGAATTAGTCAGTCTATCAACCACCACCCAAATGGAATTAAACTTCCCCAAGCTCATGGGAAGACCAACCACAAAGTCCATAGCTATCATTTCCCACTTCCATTCCGGAATTGGCATTCTCTGAAGAAAACCTGTAGGCCTTTGGTGCTCATACTTTACTTGCTGACAGTTTTGGCACATAACAACAATCTCAGTTGTGTCTTTCTTCATGCTAGGCTACCAATAAAGTCGTTTCAAGTCTCGTTACATATTGGTCACACCCGGATGACTGGAATACAACGAACCATGGGATTCTATCAACATCTTCTTAATCAATTCATCCACTCAGGGGAAACAAATTCTTCCCTTAAAACTGAGCACACCACCTGCATCAAGAGTCATATCTTGTGCCTTGCCAGACACTGTCTTCTTTCTAAGCTCATTCACATTCATCCTCAAACTATTAGGCCTTGATCTCGTCAATGAATGTGGGCTTAACCTCAATGTTGGCTAACACCCCACCTTTCTTTGAGATGCCTAACTGCATGAACTTAGACTCTAAGGTTTGAATTTCCTTAGACAAAGGTCGCTTGGATACACCCAAGCAAGCTAGACTACCCATACTCACCGCCTTCCGGCTTAATGCGTTTGCCACCACGTTAGCCTTACCCGGATGATACTGGATAGTGACATCGTAATCCTTGAGTAATTCCATCTACCTTTGATGTCTGAGATTTAAGTCCTGTTGAGTGAACACGTGTTGTAAACTACGTTAGTCAGTAAACACCTCACAGTTGACACCATAAAGGTAATGCCGCTAGATCTTAAGGGGCAAACACTACCGCTACCAACTTCAAATCATGCGTCGGGTAGTTCCTCTCATGCACCTTCAACTATCGTGATGCATAAGCTATGGCATTCTTATCTTGCATCAACACAACACCCAAACCCAAATGTGAAGCATCACAATAAACAATGAAATCTTTACCTTCTACCGACAGTGCCATAATAGGTGTTGTGGTCAGAAGGGTCTTAAGCTTCTAGAAGCTCTCTTCACACTTGTCGGTCCACTTGAAAGGCACCTCCTTTTTTGTCAGCCTTGTTAAATGCGTGGCGATATAAGCAAATTTTTTGACAAATCGCCGATAGTAGCTGATGAGCCCCACGAAACTCCTAACTTCCGTCACAGAGCTAGGCCGGACCCAGTTCCTAACTACTTCGATCTTTTAGGGATCTACCATTACCCCTTCCATTGAAACCACATGCCCAAACAAGGGAACTGAAGTCAACCAGAACTCACACTTGGAAAATTTTGCATACAACTTTTGTTTCCCAAGGACACCCAAAGCAATGCGAAGATGGTCGGCATGCTCTTCTTTACTCTTCAAATAAACCAAAATGTCGTCAATAAAGATGATGATAAAAGAATCTGGAAATAGTTTGAACACACCATTCATCAAACTCATGAAAGGTGCAGGCGTATTGATCAACCCAAACGACATTACTAAAATCTCGTAGTGCCCATGGCGGGTCCTGAACGCCGTCTTTGGTACATCGTCAAGACTAATCTTTAACTGATGGTAACCACACGTTAGATCAATTTTAGAGAAGACGGATGCACCTTGCAACTGGTCAAATAGATCATCTATCCGAGGCAACAAATACTTATTTTGAATGTTGACCCTATTCAACTGTCGATAATCTATACACATCCTCATACTACCATCCTTCTTCTTAACAAACAAAACCGGAGCACCGCACGGGGCAACACTAGGACGGATGAAATCTTTATCAAAAAGCTCCTGGATTTCAGGTTTAAGCTCTCTAAATTATGTCGGAGCCATGCGATAGGGAGGAATGGAGATGGTGTGAGTGCCCGATTCCAAGTCAATGCAGAAATTTATATCTCTCTCCGGAGGCATACCATGCAAATCGGTAGGAAACACTTTCTTGAATTCAGACACTACCGGAATAGACTCAATAGAGGGAGACTCACCATCAAGAAACCAAATATGAGCCAAATATGCCAAACACCCCTGCCCCACCAGTTTTCTATCCCGAATGAAAGATATGACCTTAGCTGGCTTAGACTTGTACACCCCTTCCCACTCTAACTTTTCCCTACCCGAGATCTCTAGAGTCACAGACTTAGCATTACAATTAATTAGAGTATAATAGGGGGACAACCAAGTCATGCCTAAGATTATATCAAAGTCAATTGTATCCAAAATAACCAAATCGACCCAAGTCTGAAAACCCATAAACAAGACAGGACAAACACGATACACATGGGTGACTATGACAAACTCTCCAACTGGGGTAGAAACATAGATGAGGGCATCAAGTTTATCACAAACCGCATCAAATCCCAAGGCATACTGAACTGACATATATGAATAAGTAGCACCTCGGATCAAACAAAACAGTAGCAATCCGATCACAGACAAAAATAGTACTTGTGATCACTACATTAGACACCTCAGCCGAGGTCTTGCCCGGAAAAACATAAAACTGAGTCATGTCATCTTGACGGGCAACCTCCTTGCCTGCCGGCTTTGCTCTCCTATCTGCATTACCATTTCCCTGGCCTCCACGGCCTTACTGATTTCCTCCTCGGCCACATTGTAGACGTCATCTATCGATACTACCGCTGCCCACTGGTACCACTGCTCTGGTCTGCTGCTGCACGAGTTAGACAGGCGCGGATGGGGACAATCTCTCATTATATGTCCAGGTTCTCCACAATTGTAACACACTTAATGACTTAACCAAGTAAGCATCACTGCTATTATATCCATCTTATGAAGCAATTCATGACAATCAACAAGGAAATCATAAGCATATTCAAATTCAGTACCCACAAATAATAGGGATTTCGACTTTAAGAACCTAATAAAAGATCATGTTGGTCACTAGTCTTTACATGCCCACATTGACTCGGGGAAACATGCTTATTTGGAAGGATGCATCATCTCTTGCCAGTGTTGGTGTTACCATTTTTGTTGCTTTAATTCTGACCATAGAGTAAAGAAGGAAAGATACTAATTTGTATCACCTAGCTACCAATTGGATTCAAGTAATAGCACGAAAGAAATGAGTTTTCCTAAAGTCCTATAGCCTCTCGAAGAAAAGTACAGACGTCTCCGTACCGTTCCGCAAAAACTCTACTAGACTCGTTTTGGTACAATGAGATCAACGAACCTAGGGCTCTAATACCAACTTTGTCACGATCCAAACCGTCGTGATTCGCACCCACACTAACCCTCCGGTGGGAGAACCATTACTACAACCCAACTAAGCAACTTAATGGAAAACTAAGCATTTAAAGATACAGAAGCAGGTTTAAATGACTCTATAACATGGAGTTCTCATAAACTCTGAAATCTTAAATAAGAACCTAAACATAACTATTATGGAAATTCAACCCCTAGAATCTGAAAGTCAATGTACCAAAACTCTACCTAACGACAAGTCTAAGAAAAAGGGGGTGCAACCGGAAACTAACATAAGTAAAAGTCTAACTAAGCAGTCTGAGTAAAAAAAAAAGGAATAAACAACTGAAGAATCCATGGTAGCCTGGAAGAACTGGCTCACCCTTAAATTCGGTCTTCGATCAATGATCCTCTAGCTGAGGTCTATCAGTAGTAGACGCCTGAAGATACCTGTACTCAACAAAGAACGAGCAAGTGTAGTATCAGTACACAACCACATTGCACTGGTAGGATCACCCTGCTACTCCAGTAAGCAAAATACAGACAGGTAATTACAACACAGTAAACACACATATACAAAATACATAGTTTAATTAATATTTCAGGAGAAACATACAATTCCCCAATACCAATGATAGGTAGACATGAGCATAATAATCACAAGTGGTTCTCTCATGGAATCCACACCCAAATTATTAGTGTGTTGGGACGTGACACCCGGTCCAATATATGTGTCGAAATGTGACACCCGATCCAATATGTGTGTCGGAACGTGACACCCGATCCAATGTATGTGTCGAACAGCACAACCACAATCACAACCACACCGTAATGAATAATACATATAGTCACATGGTCAAGTAACAGTTCATGGAATGTAGTTGTTCGCACATAATTATTTCATTAGATTTGATTCACATTTCACTATTCACATACACGCATGCATACAATTAAGTAATTAACCAGCATATATCACACAAACAGGAAATCGAACCATCATCTACCTTGAAACCAAGTTTGAATCCTCCTAAGACACTTGAGCCTTCCCTTTCCGGATTCTTTCCGCTTGTTCTTGGTCTAAAACAGTTAAATAATGCAAGGATCAATAAACAAGGCCTAATTTGCCCGGATAATAATCAAACTATCATTCTAGGCCAAACCCAAGATCTCAATACTCAATTAGGGCTTTTTCCACCATCAACTTCAGGCTAAAATCCTCCCCCAATGATAATTACTCAAGATTCTTAGTTCTAAGAATCAAATTACGGATTAGAGGAGTAAT